GAGAAAATGCTTTCAAACATGATCTAGGAGTCCAGGAGCAATGGAAGTTATTTTCTTATAAACCTCCAGCTTTTTGCGTAACCTCAAGAAATACAGTCAGACCTCTTAGTACGGTGCATCAGACGAGGGGCGGTGAAGCTGACCTTTCTCGGGAGCACTGACATTTTAAATATACTCTTCCCCCTTAAAGACCTCACCAGTGGGACGCCCTTCCTCTCCTGCCTCAGATACAAAGCCAAAGATACTTAAGGAGGCAAAAAACCCCTTTTGCTTCCCCAGCTGCCCTCTGTCATCACATTCCATCCCTATAATTGTCCCTTATCTCCTGTTTGGTGAATCCTGCAAAAGGATAAACATATAGTTATTGACACCACGGGACGGAATTTGAAAGGTTTGGGCAAGGAAAAGAACAATGACTTTTTCTTTAAATTTGATTTTGACATAAGCATATGAAGCTCCTCCTTGCTCCAGCCACTGCCCCTTGTCCTCCTTTAGTGCCCCGCGTGCGTGTACAAACTTACTTCCATCCAAACATCATCAGTCCACTTAAGAATTCAGATTAAAAAAAGAAAAAAAAAAAAGAGAGAGACGGGAGACAGGACCTTCATGGAGCCAAGAGACAGCGGTTACGCGGTGACAGTGGAAGAGTGTGTGTCTGAAAATTAATGCCTCTATCTGTTGGCTCAGACCTCGAGTTCCTTCACAGCACCTTTCTCACTAACTTCAGAAAGAAAAGACAGAACAAACAATGAGCAAAACCTGATGAAAAAAAAAAAGCAACCATGGTAATAATTACAATGAAAAGAGAACCCCAAAGCAGCCACATGGCGATGACTCATGTTCATGCCCTGGCAGCTGAGTGAGAGAACAGTGATGCATCGAGTTAGACAGACGGGAGAAACCCGGCCCCCAAAGAAAGCAGAAGCTCAGGAATAATCAGAAGGTGAAATAGAAGATTGTGAAAGGTTCTGATCTTTGCTATAGGTGAGGGACATGGGTGGGGAGATGGGCAGAGGTGGATTTGTTGCTGATGTTGGTTTGTATTGAATTAAATACTTGGCAAAGTGGGTGTTTCCTCCATCCCGTTTGATTGATTAAGACTCTGCCCGTTCAGTTCATTGCCAGGGCCTAGGTTGGGTGAAGTTCCTGGGGCTCAGATCCTAAAGCTGCCTCTCCAGGGCTGCTCATCCCAGAGAGGTCCCTGGTGAAGTGCCCTTCTCTCAGAAGTCATGGGCCTGCCCTGCTGGAGGCCTGGGCTGTGGCTCAGAACCCCTTGATGTAGCAGTAGGCCTCCAGACTAGCAAAGAGTATGTAGAGGAGCCACAGGCTCACGAACAGCCAAGTCGTGGCAAGCTTGCAGCCACGAGGGCCGCCGAGCTCCCCGCCTAGGTGGGGCCGCCGGCGGTACAAGAGCACGCTGATGCAGACGAACGCGAAGATGGTGAAGAGGGTAACGGAGAAGGCCAGCGTGCCTGCAGACACGTGGAACTCCTGTCCCTGAAAGGCCCAGTAGATGGCGGCCACGGACCAGGCCAGGCCGATGCCCAAGAAGACGTTGACGGCGTTGCTGCCCGTGACGTTGCCAATGGAGGCGTCTGCGTACACGTCCTGGATGGCGGCAGCTTTGCTGGCAAAGGTATCTGGAAAGGGGCAGAGACAAATGAGAACTGGTGGGAGGCTGAGATGTGGAGGGCCTACCTTTGAGTATATCCAAAAGGCACTGGGGCCAGCAGGTTGAGCCCGAGGAGAGGCAGCTCTGCCATTAAGAAACTGTGTGGCCTTGGACAAGTCATCTCAGTTCTTTGAGCTTCCTATTCCTCATCTGCTGGAGTCTGAAAGATTCCTAAGGACCTTCCTGGTTCTGAGATTTACCAAGTAGGTTTATTGTTCCCTTTTAACTTTTTTCTTTTTTCTTTTTCAGTAAGTGGAGTTTGCTATCTCGTTCTATCTCCCCAGGGAGCCGTGACATCCTGGGAAGATGCTTAGGGTAGATCCCTGACTGTAACTGTCACATGGAGAATTTTTCTCATGTAACACAGACAATTACTGCTCAGTGCCCATGGGCTCAGCATTGTGCTACATGCTGCTGCATTTATGGGGACCGGGGACATGATGAGGAACCATGACAAGGACATGCAGGGTGAGCTATAGACTCAAGGAAGAGGGGGCTCTGCCTTTGCGATGAGTATATGGAGCACAGGGCCCTGCAGGCTGTTTGAGTTTAGATGTTGGCATGGATTGTGGGCTTTGGAGGGACTGTCAGGGCCACCTAGCCACCCTTTTATGCTGGATTTATGGGGACAGGGGACATGATGAGGAACCATGACAAGGACATGCAGGGTGAGCTATAGACTCAAGGAAGAGGGGACTCTGCCTTTGCGATGAGTATATGGAGCACAGGGCCCTGCAGGCTGTTTGAGTTTAGATGTTGGCATGGATTGTGGGCATTGGCGGGACTGTCAGGGCCACCTAGCCACCCTTTTATTTTAGAAGTAAGGAAAACAAAGGTCAAGGAATCTATCCAAGGTCACATGGGAAGTGAGAAAGAGATTTAACCCTAAAACTCTCACATCAGGGCCCTTTGCCTACCATCAACCTACATCCAGAGTCTCAGCCAAAGCCACAAAATCAGCTGAGTAGACCATATTGAAACCTTCTTCAAGCCCCTAGGACTGCCAGCTGTTCCCTGGACCAACTGCAAGGACTTGGAAGTGCTCCAAGCTCTTGCCCTGCTGTCTTGGTTTCCCTCCTTGTTGCCAGTTTTCTCGGAACTCCCAGAGGAAACCTCTTGCCTTCTCTTGCCTATGATCTTGCTTTTTTGCCTCTGATCCTCTGCAATTTCTCCCCACATCTGTTCCTTTTTTGCATATCTGTTCCTTTCCCTCTGATAGTTCCGGCCCCTTGAGGCCTAGAGAACAGAGATCACAGGGCATGTTCTCCACAAAGCCTTCTCTGGATCATCCATATAATTTTCTACCACTCGATGCAGTTCCATAATAGCTGAGCCTCTTGCATCACCAGTGTATAAATAATCTCATTGGTCTGTGCTGAGGTTTGAGGAAGAAGTTTTCCTAAAGTGTGATGTAAATTCAGTTACTCTCCAAAAAGATTTGTTTTCTTGGTCCAGGAAGGGTTTCCCTGAGTCCTGCTAGCAGAGTCCTAATGACACTCAGCCTAATCCTCTTTAAGGAGGATGCTCTCTCTTCTTGTAGCAATTGAGAGGCCGGCAGGAGTTCAGGGTTCAAACACCCTGAAGACCCCAACTGAACTAAGTGGGGAACCTGAGCTAATGCAGCCTCTCTCTGTCTGCTAACTGCTACTCATCCTTCCAGCCCAGCTTACATATACCTCCCTCGGAAGTCACCCCTGACTTCCCAGGTCCCCCTGTTTTATAATTGCACGGTAGCTGCACTTTTTTTTCATAGAACTTATTGAGATGATTTTGATTATAGTAGTTGAGTGTAGTCTCCACAACCGGCTTATAAACTCCATAGGAAGAGGAGAAACATGTCTGTCTGTCTTGCCTCCCACGATAGCCCCAGCAACTAGCACAAGCCTGTTATCAGGCTCAGTAAATATTTGTCTAATGAATGAATAAGTGCATGCCTGTTCCTGTCATCTTTAGGTGTCTGTAAGGAAAAAAAGAATATGAAACACATCATATGAAAGGACAAGAGCTCACTGAGCTTCCTTCCCCTGTCCCACTGGGAGACACTTGGTACTCACAGGTGTCCTTGTAAGCAGAGGAAGCCAAGAATGTTTGTGGGCATTTCTACAATAACACCCTCAAGCAGGCCAATCTTTAGCCCCTCAGAGACTGCCAAAGGGAAACGGAAGGAGAACAATATCCATACGAATAGGCCTGCATGTCCTTGTCATGATTCCCCAACATTCTTTTAACTACATTGTTTGTGGCCTATTTGTATAACACGGAGGTTAAGAGATTGGGCCACTTACCTGGGCAGGTAATATAACCTCAGTGAGCCTCAGTTTCCCCATCTGTCAAGTGGGGATAGTAACTGTCCCTATTGAATAGGGTTTTGGTGAGTATTACAGGGATGAAACATGTAAATTGCTTAGCATACATAGTTCCTGATACATCAAAAGTGCTCAAAGAAATGTTAGCTTTCAATAGTAATATTACCATGAATCTCTTTGATTGACTTTTGTGTACCCTAGGGGCAGAGAATCTATTAAGCTCAGATCTGAGATGGTAAGGAAGATAATGAGGCAAAGTGTAGGGGTCACTTAAACCCAGTAATAACCTCTTTGCAAACCCAAGGACCCCTCACTCTCACCTGGCACAGAAGTGCCAAATGCCACGAAAACAACAGCTGTGACTGAGTCCTTGAGGCCAATGGTGCAGCCAAAGTGAGAGGCCAGGTCCCCGATGATGGCCGTGAGCATGCCGATGATGAGGATGGAGACGACGAAGCAGGCCCAGCCGTGGCAGTACTCTGTGGGGGGCACGCAGGCAAAGAGCACTTTCCAGAAGACCGTCAGGAAGTGCATGACGTAGTCAAAGCAGGATGGCAGCCTCTCCTCGCCTGACTCATCCTCATCCTCGTCCCCTGCTGGAGGCAAGATAAACATGCCCAGGAAAGGGCAGCGAGGTCAGATCCCCAGAGGTCAGATCCCCATTCTCGAGAAAGTCGAGTCTAACTCACATCATGAACATCATCAGCTGGAAGGAGGCTCCAGCTCGTTCCTGGGCAGCTGGCACGGGCCAGGGCCTGGGCACCAGAAAATGGCTGGGAAATGGGAAATGAGCCGGGGTGCCTCACTGGGCAATCTGAATATGGGGCACCCAGGGAGAGTGGGAGAAAGAGGACTGGAGAACAAGGAAGAGAGGAAAGAAATTAAGAGAGAGTGTGGGAGACCATGAGAGGGACAAGGCAGTGGAGGAGAAAGAGAGGAGAATGGAGCAGGCTGCATTTGGTTGCCCAGGTGAAGAAAAGTGTAATCAGCGAGGTACCCACTTTTCACTGGACACCAGTGGGGCTCCTTATAATTTTTCTGACATGACTGTTGCAATAACCTCATGGTTCTGGTCATTATCTGTCCCCAGAGGGATGGCTGTCATTCCAGATCATGCGGGCATACCAGAGAGCCAGTGCCATCCCCCAAATATCCCATGAGACAAGTGGGGATGGGAGCCATTTGTCCTTGCCAGGAAATGTGGGCAGACTTGCCCATTCAGCAGCCCGGGAGGAGAGGATGTGCTGAGGCGTGCTGGCGCCTTGTCAAGGGCAACCTCTGTAATATTTCGCACATGCACGTGGAAGCTGGGTTTCGAAAGAGCCAGAGTCAGGACACTGGGGTGCCAACTGCAGCTCTGCCATGAAGAGAATCTAGAACCTGGTGCAAATTGTCTCGTTTCTGAACCTCCGTTCCCTCATTTGAAAAAGAAGGGGGTTAGATTATGTGGCCTACATTCCATTGTTGTCTCTTTAGGGGCAAAGTAAGGTCATCAGAGAGGGCACTGGGGGTATTTGAAGTGGGCGACGTGAAAAGCAGGGCAGCAGCGGTGGCAGCAGCCCTCTCTTCCTGGCTGTACTTTTGCAGTGGCTCTGGGGCCTCAAGAATATGACCCTGTAGGTTGTTATGACAACAAAGGCTCAAGAAAAGAGACAAGGCCAGTAATGCTCGGCAGTGCAAGGAGGCCTCAGTGGTGGTGAGAGCCTTCCCATCCCCACTGCAACATGTCTGTGGGGTCCTGGGACACTGGCTGTGCTGTGGGTCCCCACTGAGGGAATTGGTCAGTACATGACAAAGGAGAAGTTTGAAATCATCCCAGATAGAGGTCTGCCAGTCAATACGGAGATTTTATAAACTCCAGACACCTACATTTTAAATCAGAATAGTTCTCCATTTGACAAAAATGAGGACCAAAGTAATGAGAGGAAGGAATGATGGAAAACAGAATTTACTGAGCTCACGTTTGGTACCAGACTGTATCTTTCTATTTATTTTTTCTGAGAAAGGTAGCAATAGTTCCCTTTTTGGATGAGGAAATTGAGGCCTAGAGAGGATAACTTGTCCTAGTTTACACAGCAGAACCAGGATTCAAAGCCAGAGATAGCCATGTTCTTTTAGTTACCCCATGATCCTTTTCAAAGAGACCTAGTAAAATGCAAACATCTAAGACTAGAGGTGGGAAGACTGGACACCAAGACCTCCCCAGAAGTTGGTGGGTTGTTGATGGGGCCGTGTTCTTCCTTCTCCGATGTTACCTGCTTCTCCCAGCAAGGCCTGTGCCCATCTTGAGACCTCTTACCTGCACTGACAGTGATGGCTTCCATGAATTGGTCCCTCCAGGAATGGGTCCCCACAACCAAGGCCAAGTTTGTCTTCTTGATCAATTTATCCACTGTACTCTGTCAGGGAGATAAAAACTTGGAACCATGAGGTTAGAATGCTCAGAACCATTGAGAATTCTGGTGTTTCAAGAGAATGAAAGGTGCCCTGCATCCCAGGGGCTCCATGTGTTCTGAAAGTTACACATGGAATGGCCTTGGGAGATACCTTCTGGGGAAATCCTTCTATTTCCATTTTCTTTGATTGTGACTGCTAATGTTGGATATTTGGAGTAATACAATAGAGAACAACAATAATGATATCAATAAACCTTGCCTTGAAGTAGTAAATTTTAGTATCTTTGTTTTAAAAATACAGTTAAACCATAGCAATGACATATCTATTCCATAAGCTGTTATATTTCCTCATAATATTCCTTGGACACAAAATAGCCAGCACTAATTGTTCCATGTTACAAATGGAAAAACTGAGACTGGGGCGAGCAAGTGACTTGTTCAGTTTCAATTTCATATATTCCGTGGTAAAACTGGAACTAAACTCCACGTCTTCTACCTCCCACCCCATTGCTCTATTATTCAATTAGATCTCACTTATGGCCTGACCTTGAACTCATAGGACTCTTCAATGATGACCTCTAGTTTGGGGTGTTGACCCAATACTGGCTTTCCCATTTCTGCTATCCTCTTGGCTTCCTCTTCCTCCATAGTCAGCTTCCTGTCTGTCACCTCTGCAACAAAACAAAATCAGACTAGCTTTAGCACTTTCTCCATTCCCCAAAAGTCTAAAGCTCAGAGTGTTAGGCTGGGCAGTGGACATAAACCAAATAGCTCTTGGAAATGGGAATTTTGTGCTTCTTTCTATAAAGTGCTGAACAAATTATGACCATCAGGCCATGAAAGGGTTCCTTGTAAACCTGGAATAAATCTTTCCATTTTATATCTCAGTGGGCCATGTGACCCAAAGACCTGAGAAATACCAAGTAAAGTGCCCAAGTCATGTGGAGAGATATTGAAGAGTTGGGAACATATCTCTTGACTTGGAACTATTTTGAACTGTTGTGCCTGACTGGTCAGCTACTTCAGGTGAGCGTTCTGGGAGGTCAGAGCCACATCTAATTCAAGTGCAACATCCACTGGTTCATATTCATGTATATTTCCAACACTCTTAGCACTGTCCCTTTTATAAAGGACAAAGGGGGGATGTTTCCAGGAATATCTACATTTCATGGAAGTGAATATTATCCTCACAATGAGAAACTTGGAAGATTTCCCCCCAAAAAACTTCATGATTTTCCAATAAAGTTCCTCAGAATTTCTATAAGAAGCAAGCACATTTCTTCTGGAACACAAATATTTGTTCAAAAATACAACAACAAAAAAGATCTTCCTTTACTTTCTTTTGAAGCATTCCCTGTGTCCCTCTCAGCGTCTTGACTCAATTACCAGTAGTCCCTTCTTATGATGAACAGTTAGAAAATTTTTCCACTTCAGCTGGTGAGTTCATTTTAAGATCACTTTACCATGAAGACATGTTTTCTGGATTAGAGTGAAATAGAGATTGAATCTTTTTATTCCCCTTTGATTAGAAAATTGTTTTTGGCAGCCTATTTCTTTCAGAGCTCATTTAAACATCTTTCCATCCAAGTCCACATTCTTGCATGCAATTAATTCTTTTATTCGTCTCCTTAATTGCTTTCATTCCACACAGTGAATTTCCTAGGGAAATCCTCTAGTCTTTGGATAATCTGAAGGACGAACTGGGTCAGAGGCCAAGAAGGTCTTCTTTACTCTCTATCTTGGGAACTGGTGAAATGTGGGGAGGTGTGAGACTCGAGTTCTTGAGGTTGCCAGGAAAGGAATTCACTGAAAGGACCATAAGCCAAGGGTGTAAGTTACCAAGCAGGGAGACTATTTTATATAAGAGTTTTCTTAGTTGGCCTGACTGAAGGTGGTAAGACAGTGTGCAGAAGATTCCTGAGCTGGCTGTTTCACTCAGTGCTTCTGGCACCACACATAGAAGGCAATCTCAAAATGTTTAGGAGCTGTCCATGGTGCTGTCCTCCCATTAGAGTTGGTGACGGCTTTCAGAAACAATGATTTCTCAAAGTTCTATGTCCTACTGTATATTTCTAAGTTAGCAGATACCCTCTAGCAGCCTTGTTTTATTGAATCCATTAAGTCTGAGTCTCTTGTTAGTTAATTCTGAAGGTAAATCTGGGAATATCCAGGGTTCTGGCTATGAAATCTGTGATCCTAGAAGCCAGACTGCAAGCCACTCGAAGAAAAAGCCTTTGGAAAAATACATAGATTTCTTAAAATCATGGGTACTCTTCCTCTGCCTGTGGGTTTTGGCACCGTATTGCAATGACTATCCTAACAGCGACAGTATTACTCCCCCTCCCAATTCCCCCATGTTATACTTTACATGTGCCACAAGAACTTTATACCAACATAATGAGCTCTCCAGTGACATATAAATGTACCTGTCTAACCCCTTGTCTAGCAATCAATCTAGCATTGTATCCATCTGGCAGGATATTGATCAACCTACTGACCTGTCCACCCCTGTGGTGACAATTGGTTTTTCCATCTAGCTTCTGCACAAATGTCTTTGACAAATAACCAATCCTCTATCTTTGGATCTCTTTCAGCCCCAGAGAAGCACTCCATATACCTGTTAATTGATTCCATTTAAATCAGCTCTGATTTAATGTCTTGGTTTGGTAGTAATTCCTCCCTTATTCTATTTTTGTAACAATCATTCCTTAAATTCAAATTAAGTTAATTTCTTGAGAGACTGATAAATCTCAAACCTAAAAGACCATAGTGATTCTATCGCTTCTCTGTATGACTCTTCAGAATTTCAAGCAAAGAGAATAAATGGCAGGTGATGTTGATATTCATAGAGACTAAACAAACTCTCAAATTTAGAAAAATGAGGAGAGGGAGAGAGAGGCAGAGGCAGATACAGAAGCAGAAAGAGGGGAGGAAGGAAGGGAGGAAGGGAGAGGGGGAGTAGGGGAGAGGGGGAGAGAGGGAAAGGGAGAGGGAGAGGAAGAGGGGGGTGGAGAGAGAGAGAGAGAGAGAGAGAGAGAATGAGAATGAATAGGATGAAAGATTGAGCAAATATCGAAAGAACAAAGAAGTTGCCAGGCCAGACAGGAACAAATTGACATGAATGTTCTACAGGCATCCTCAGAAAGAAGTGTGGCAATGCAGCCAGCGCTCTCTCTCCCAGGTCCCTGAACTTGGTGGTGTAGCTCAGAATGAACATATTTACTCTCCATCTTTCACCACCAGGAATTGTTAATCATGTTTGCCTGTCCACCCAGGAAAACTCAAACAAATATTTAAAATTTCCAGTGAATTTAAAGTTAAACCAAGGGCTCCTAAATTAAAGGTTTACAGATTGAAAGATCTAGGAAATGACACCTTCTTTTCCTTTTTTAGCTTCTATTGCTATTTGTACAAATACGTTGAAAGTATAAAGAAACTTAAATTAAATCACAATGTTTGTTGTGTGTATATGCGTGTGGTTGGTGGGAGTGCTAGACTTAAATACCCAGGGAGAATAGTGGAATATATGGGTTGGAGGTAGTGCTTATACTATTAGTATAAAGAGGAAGCAAGAGGACAGGGAAACTGGAGTAATTTTTTTTTTTTCAGAAAAGGAAAATGTAGGGGTTAACCTATATTTTTTGTTTAAGGATCCAAAAAGGCAAATGTCCTTACTATGTATACTGCCCCTTCTCAAACCCAAGGTGGAGCCTATAGGTGGCATTGAACACCAATGAATTCTATAAGATGCTTCCCTATTAAATGACCTTAATTTTTTTTATGTGTTTGAAGAACTTATACAATGTAAAATGTTCTCTTAACAAAATTTGAGACATCTTGTGTAGTTCACTCTGCCTGCACTGAAGTACTCTTAAAGTAGGTGTATGTCCTACAATAGGATATAGATTCTGCATGAGAATCTCTCCAAAATAAATTCTCTAAAATTTTAATTTCCAGCCAGACAATTGCCTCCAGCTCCAATAATATCTCAATTCTTGTTGTTCATGGCACATGTGACTTCAAGTGTCAATGACGAACCAAAGTTCTAGCAATTCAGACCTTGGCTGTGATAAGATGAAAGATCTCCAGGATCATTAAAATTCCAGATTCTTTAAAAATTGCTTTTCATGTTCTCACAGCAGCTACTGATTATTTTCCCCTGGATTGCTCAGGATCAAAGTATTTTCTTTCAAATCCCATCATGATCCTACTAGGAGATTCAGCTCTGACTCTCATCCTCTCTTGCCCCCTATGAGATGGCAGATGAATTAAGACTCAGGAGAAGTCTATGACCTACCATCTCTTTGGTAAGTTTCAATTCCCTTCCGAGTCCCAGAGAGGATCGGTCTATGCCTGTACCTACATCCATCAATGGAAATGGTGCTCAAGGAGTGGCCTACTTCCTCATGATTAATTCAAGTGAAAAAATAAATCTCTGAGTTTTTAGGAGAACTTGTCAGTTTAACTTGAGCTTACAGTTTCTATTAAATAAATTAAAGGACATTGGTCTTAAACTAAATAAAAGCACTAGCAAGAAGTAAAAAAGAGGGGGCAAAACACCTCTTACCTGGAGACAACAGGAGCGCTGTTTGCAAATGGATACCAGACAAGGGGAAGAAAGAAAAGGAAAGAACATTAAGTTCCCATCTCTAAAGTGTCCCCAGGCTTTGTGGTTTCAGCAGCATAAGGAAAGCAATGAGCTTAGTAGGTGAGAGCTCTGTAGCCACATGCGAAAGGCAGCATTTGGAGCATGCGCAGCAGCAGCAGCAAGGGGTGTGGGCCACTGCAGAGACTGCTGAGCACCAGGGCCCTGCAGTTATGAGAGTTCCCCCCATGCCTTTCCTGCAACTCTGAGGGCTACGGACAGGAGAAGGAGGACAGGGGAACCAAGTAGGTAGAGCAGAGACAGAATTGGTCATTCGTGATCTTCTAAGGAATCACATTATCACGTCCATTCTGTAAAGAAGTGAGAAGCAGTTAACTTGAAAACTGTACAGGTTGCAACCTGGCCAGAGTAGCTGGCTTATCAGTAGAGAATATGACCCTGGGGCTTAAATAGGAGCTCAGGGCACTGAGTATTGGTGTACAAGAGTGGAACAGTGCCCAGTTCAATCTTCTATCCCTGACCTCATAATCAGATCATGCTCAGCCTCCCAGTGCCTGTAACATTTCCATGGCCACAAATGGCTACCATGTCAGCCAGAACTTTGAGTCCCCCCCACCCAAAAAAGAGAAATGACCAAGTGAGAAAGTTAAGTCCTGCAGAATTTTCCTTTCTTGGTTCATCTTTTTATAGATATAGCCTGGATGTCAGGGCCATGTACTCCTATCATTTTGTATCACCTGTGCCTAGCAAAGTCACTGCAACTAGTAGTTGTTCAGTAAGTTCTGTTATTTGCTGACTATTTTGGCAATTATATTTTTTATAAATCTTGTGGTGCTACATATCTGAATGGTGGCCTTTTTGTTCCAGAAAGGACAGGCTAAATCAGTGTCCAGACATTCTGAACCAGAGAGGCTGTCATATTCATAGACTGAAATAGACTGAAAGTTATTCATACATGGAAGATGACAAATACAAGGTCCTTACATGGACTAGGAAGCTGAGTTAAAGATGTACGCAACATAGGTTGTCCATAGTCCCTAAATTTGTATTTATGCTGAACTCTTTTAGATTTCAAGGTCCAAAAAATAAAACATTCTTGTGACATATCACATTTTCATCTTGATGGTTGTTAGTACAGCCCCTTACTCCCTGGCTCTTGTAAAATAAAAGTCTGGAAATGTCCTGCCATGTATTCCTGGCATAGCTGGTGACTAAAAATGATTGCTAAGGAAACAGTAGGAGGGAGGGTGTTTGTGAATTGTTTCTTCTAAAAATCTAGAAATGCAACTCAGGCCTGTGATCCATCATCCCATATGCATAGGCTGAAGAAACATGTGGATCCAGAATCTTTATGGTATATAAGCAGCAACTGACTTTTTCTGGTTTGTCCCATGTGGACTTCAAAGGGGTAATGGATCAAGGGATATCTTTATTGCATTGAGATAGGTAGATGATAGATAGATTATAGATAGATAGATAGTAGATACATACATACATACATACATACATACATACATACATACATACATGACAGGCAGACAGACAGATATGTATGTAGGTAGGTAAACAGATGATAGATACATATATATATACATACATAAATACATACATAGATGATAGATAGACAGATACATACATACATAGGTAGATAGATGATAATAGATAGATGATAGATAAGTAGATGGATACATAGATAGATAGATGATAGATAAATAGCAAGAGAGCTTGTTCATTCTGCTCCTTCTATGGATCTGCATGGAAGAACCCTTTCTTGACCCCAACTTCTAGTGGAGACCAGGGACCCAAATGCATCAATGTTCCCAGGTAGGCCGGAAAAGGGGCAGCTCTTCCAAAAGGTCTCTGCTGCCCTGTTTTCGCTCAGACGTACTTCCCAACACCAGGGTCATCCCTAGCACAGCAAGAGGGCTTGCAGTCAGCGCAAATCACACCATTCTTTGGTTGCTGTCTCCACTAATCTGAGACTTTCCACCTATCAGTTTTAGATGGGTCAGTGGGATCCAAGTAGCCCAACTTTGAATGATACAATACCTCCAGGGTGTTCTTCCTGCTGCTGCTGATGAGAGAAGTTGGAGCTGAACTTTCCTTCTACTGATCTCTAGGGTCAGGTGAGAGTGGTCTATCCCTTCTAGACGTGCCAGGGACAAGTGGGAAACAGCATAGCTATGTGAATCATTGGAAGCATCTGGGAAGCTTGACAGGGTAAACCCATGGATGTGGTAAGAGGAGGCACAAACAGGCCCCATTCTTGGGGGAGAGTGCTTTCCCCTCCCACCTGAGACTTTCAGTGTCCAGGCCCAGGCCCAGCAGCCTTGACTATGCTTATGCTACCTGGCATTGCTCTCAGAAGTCCACTCTAGATCCCAGCGCTTTCCCTGTTCTGGAGCGACTGTGTTTCCTATTCATCTCTCCCTTTCCTCTCCCCTAGCTTGTCCAAAACTTTTAATCTCACCTCTGAAATCTGTTTTGTTTGCCAAGAGTAGAATCTCCTATTTTGAATCCAGTTCTTTTTTTTTTTTTTTTTTTTTGTGTAATGCAATTGTCGTTTGACCATGCAGAGACTATGCTGTTCTAAACACCTAAGACTCTCCCATGTAGCAGTGATAATGGAAAGCAATTTCCATTGTGCTGTTTCTCGCTCCAAGAACAGCGGGGAATTCTGGAAATCAGGATGGGTTTTCATTTGATTCCGAGTCTAGGCAATCATAAGGTGACGTTTCACCTTATGATCTGATGCCGAAATATGGGAAGATCTGAAGAAACTGAAAATTAATCCTATAGACAATAGAACAGGATGTAAGGAAATACACATTTTCCGTTATCACTGTCCAACTTGGCATCTCAGTCCCTGGGAAGACCTGGGGGCATATCACATCGATGACTTGATGAAATCCTTGTCTTCTTAGCTACGCTACCCCCAGGACTAGACTCCACCAGGGCTTTGCTGACAACTCCTTGGACAAAGAATCCAGTGCAGCCAAAAGGGGTTCTCAAATGGGGAATAGACACACAGGCATTTGCATTTGACCAAGCCTCTTGAAGGTTCACCTTTGGTCACTCTCTGTCCTGCTGTTGATAGGGGTTTGTTGGGGAGTTAGAAAAGAAGAGCCTCTTAACTGGTGGAATAAAGTCAGGGACAGACTTCCAACCTATTCTTCTTGTCTGGAGGCACTGTCTTCTTTCCAGCAACCCTGGGTGATCCTTTGTGCTGCTTTCATTTGCACCAAGGTAGTTGGGACTGTGAAAATTGATGAAGCCAGTTTACAATGACCTTAGATATGTCTGCAGCCTTCAACCAATCATGAAGACGGGGAGTAAATGCACAAGGGTGGTGGGGATGGAGTGGCACAGGTGTTGAGACAATTTCTGAGCATATACTTGGTGGCAGAAACTAGAGGATTGGCAAGACCACAATCTGGGAAGCAATGGAACCAGAGATTTTTTCTTTCTTCCAGTACTCTTTGGCAATCAGGTTCATGGCAGCAACTTATTAGGGGGCCGAGGAAAGGATGAGTAATAGAAGATGGAGAGGGCTTCCGCTTCTAGAACACCAGGTGTGTCCAAACCAGTGTGGGCATAGAACTTGTCAGATCTGCAGAGAGAGTCCACAGAAGATAGTGAGAACTGATCAATCATATGCATCTGAGAAGACCTGTCAATGAGGCTTTGGGAGTGAAGTTGCCAAATCTCTTAGGTCTGTCCTTGGGTGAAAGGCTTTATGATGGTCTTTGTTGTGTGAATACAAAGTAGATGCAGAATAACCACCCCTTTTTGACAAACAGGTGGATCTCACTATTTCATCTTCCATGAGGCACCCAGCAGCATATGTCTCCTGAAGGGGAGTGTGAATGTCCTCCTCTTGGTATTTCCCAAGAGCACCCTTACCCATTCCCACTTATATTCCTCCAATACTTTCAGAGTAGTGGCTTCCAATCATGTTCTTCAAGGGTTGCAACATAGTCAGTCCTTTAGGAGTGGCACCCTGGCAGGTATTCCAAGATGCATGTCCAGAGGAAAGGAGATGAGGCTACTTCTCCGGTATGGTACGAGGGTTATTGTGGGATCTGGGTGATATGCTCATTTGCGGATGTGAAGCAAAGAGATGGCTTCTGTGAACCATCCCAATACCTGTTTCTCAAGGATCAACACCAACTACACCATTTAGAGTCCCCTCTCCAATGGGAAAACCCTTAAGTTAATACTCTGAGCCTGCCCAATGTCAGTCCTTTTCCAGGGCCCTCTACCTAGGGAGATTTTCACACTTGGAATTATATCTTTTTTTTTTTAGACTTAATTTTCCTCTTTAGAGATTGCATTACCCTAAAGTAGCCTGAATAAAGTACCTTACCTTGGGCTAGGAATAGAGGTGGGATAGGATGGGGTGGGATGCCAAAGGGAGGAAGAATAGCTCAGGATTGCAGATTATATGACTATTTCAGAAGCCAGCTCTCTCTCAGAGAGCTTTCAGAAGCTGTGGCCTCTGACAAATGGTGTACCTTTCCATGACACGGTCTACCCAACTGTGAAACAGCCAGATAAAACACTTACCTCCATGAAGGGCAGAGAGGCCTATGGGACACTCTGCAAGTGAATAACCTGCCAAGCACGCAAAGGAGGTTGGGGAATGCAGCAAAAAACTGTCAAAGCATCATCGCAACATGGGCCCCAGCCCCCATTTCAGACCCTCCCCCATTCAATCCAGGCTAGAGAGTGAGGGGTGGGAGGGGAAGAAGGCAGGGAAGGGGCACCAGCATGCATTGCATCACATTCCTTTCTTTTGCTTCTCCTCCCCACCCACCAAGGAGTTTCCACATTTACAGGTCATTGTGTGTGTGTGTGGGCTGTGGGGGAGAGTGCAGGAGACAGTGGGAATCAGTAAATCATGAGGGTCATAAGAAGTTGAGACTGCAGCACTGCCCAAAAGGTGGGAAAGGAGGACTTGGAAATAAGCTAAGGCTAAGAAGGCAGAGATGATACCGAAACAGGGTGAGAGCGAGAATACAGGAGGGAAAAGAATAAAAAAAGTCTGTTGGTCAAAAGGAAGAAGGAAAAGGGACGAAAAAGGGAAAGAAAAATATAGTTGCTTTTTGTTGTTGTTTCTTTTCAGTTTGTTTAAATTTTTTCTTTCTTTTTGTTGTTTTATTTTGTTTTGTTTTGTTTTAAAGAATCTCACACCTGATATTCCACGTTCCATCCATTTCGGTTCACCAAGGGCAATGAAGAAATTCTCTTGCCTTTCGTATTCCTCCTCATCTACTATTTTAACCCTTATGGTTTTCCTGTAGGGACAACAAGAAAGAGAGTGTGTGTCGACTGGGTCGGCAGATTGGTTGGTCGCTTGGAGCACAGCCTTTAAAATCATCCCCCATCACTCTTGGCACATGCAGCTCAGTCCCGCCATGGTGGCTTTGACAGGACTGTGGTGGATTGTATTGTTCTTATATTTAAAAAATGGTCTTAGGTTTTCTTGTCTCCTTGATCATAGTTGTCCTTATGGGTGAGAGGGAAAGGGAGCCAGGGGGACAAAGAAAAGTGGGCAAAGGAAGGAATTCAGGTGGACAGCAGGGGAATGGGAAGAAAGAAGGAGTTGATGGTGGGGAGGAGTTGTTTTAGATCCTGCTGATGGTTAGTAGGAAGTGAGTTGGGCAGCACATTCCATTGGGTGTCACATGGTAACAGTAGCATTTCTTTGGGCAGGTAAACTACTGGTCCATTGGGAATAACCCAGGGCCCTTCTACAACAGGAAATATGTCAATGGTACCTAGCTAGGGACTTGTTTCCTTTCCTTGTGTCCATACTCACTTCTAATGTGAGCCTCATAAAGAAAAATTTTAAAGGAAGGTATTTACGAGGAAGGGAAATGAGATAGATAGAGAGAGAGAGAGAGAGAGAGAGAGAGAGAGAGAGAAGAGAGAGAGAGAGAACGCAAGGAAGGCAGAATTCTATTATCTTTCTCATTCTTTATCTCACAGGACTTCTGTGGTGGAAACTAAAATACACATGTATTAACCACAATGTGATATAGGACTCCTTTAATATTTACAGCTGATGCACTCCTGGGGAAGTGTGAAGAAAATAATATAAATCATCAAATTCTAAATCATCTTTGGACTTCTGTCATTTCAGGGCGATGTGTCCCAAAGCTGGCCTCCTTTGGTACTGATTATCAAGGGCCCAAGGGACGATGCGACGGAAATTTCTGTTCATTACTGGGCATCTCAGCAAAGCATCGTGTCTTTTAAAACAAATTATCGGGGAACCAAGTGTTCCTTGAAAATCACTCCCCTCCAAAGACTGGCATCAGGCTGGCTCAAGACTATCATCATTGGAGAAGTTGGTATGTGGGCCTGGATCTCCCCGTGTGGCTTCTCTTGGTCTTACATGAAACTATATGCAGTGAGGTTGGTGGGTACCAATACTGAACCCTGATTATTAATTCTCTTTCTGTCACTTTCTCTGTCTCTCTCTGTCTCTCTCTCTCTGTCTCTCTCTGTCTCTTTCTCTGTCTCTCTCTGTGTCTTTGTGTCTGTGTCTGTGGTTGGCTTTCTCTCTCTCTGTCTCTCTCTCTCTCTCTGTCTCTGTCTCTCTCTCTGTCTCTTTCTCTGTCTCTCTGTCTCTGTCTCTCTCTGTGTCTCTGTTGTCTCTCTCTCTCTCTCTGTCTGTCTCTCTCTGTCTCTTTCTCTGTCTCTCTCTGTGTCTCTGTGTCTGTGGTTGTCTCTCTCTCTCTGTCTCTCTCTCTGTCTCTCTCTCCTGTGTCTCTCTCTTTCTCTCTCTCTTCCCCTTTCTCTCCCATCTGGGACCTAAATGCTTTCTAAAGGGCAAAGAAATTCTAACAAATGGCCTAAAATGTCTAATCAGAGTTTCTGCTATATCGATCCCATTCTAAAGACAGGCTCAGCTTTGCCATCTATGAAGTGGTAGATTGATCTGGGTTGGTTTGTTGGGCACAAGACTTGTGTGTATTTGTGTGTGTGTGTGTGTGTGTGTGTGCGTGCGCGCGTGAATGCGTGTTTTAAGAGTACATTTTTTAGTCACCTTTCTGGCACTTTTTTGGACAACTTGCTTAGGGGAAAAGACAAAGCTCACTGTTGTCAAGAAATTTTTTTCAGGAATTTCTCTCTAGGCCCCAGACCCTGGGGCTGTTACGAGATATGAGCCTGGCTTGTTTTTCCACTGCGGGGACTCTGCTGTAGGATGAGACCAGCTGCTCTTATATTCCTCCATGGCCTAGAGGAATATAATTGAAAATTCTGCCAGGGAAGGAATGTTGCCTCAAATACTAGCAGCTCCCCGCTCCACAGTATCATCTATCCAGAAGAGGATTTTCTGACTTGCTTATTAGAAGCCTGAGGTGTCTGGGGTTATTTAAGTTGAAGGCAAAAAGTCCATCTACTCTGAGGAGTCCTGTGACTTCTTGGAGAAGCTTCCACTCAGGTCAGAATCCTCTTTCCCAGGAGTGTTACTCTCTGCCTCCATATTTAGATGCTCATCATAGGGAAAACAGAGTGCTGCAGGTAGGTCTTTGACTTAGACTTGGAATTCAAAGCTGTACTTTCAGCTCAATCAAGGTCAAGAGAAACACACCTTGGTAGCAGGGATTTGGCAGATAAGATGGCTCCTAAGGCCTGCTTTTGGGGAATGGGATGAACCACAAACAGAGCCAAAATCTAAATATACTGACTGTCAAGGCCCAGAGACTATAAGCCTAGCCCTGAGAATAGCTGTCCTATGGAAATCTGTGCTGAGAGCCAGGGCGAGTTTCCAAGTGCTGTCCTGCCTGGTGCTGTACTATCTGGCCTTTTTCTTTTCTGTATATTAGGCCATTCAGGAGAAGCAGAGAGCCTCGTATACGATACTCTCAGGGCTGTGGCTGGCACCCTCTCTTTCTTTTTTGCTCTTTCTCTCTCTCTCCCTCGCTCTCTCTCTGTTCTTCCCCATATCCATTTCCCCATCTTACAAAATTACCATTGGCTCTTGAGCATCCCTCTTATGGATACCATGTGACAGGCTGGCAGATGTTAGGACACAGCTGGGAGCAAAAAGAGGAGAGGGAGAAGTGAAAAGAGAGAAGGAGAAAGGAAACAAGAGAAAGTGAACCGAGAGGTAGGAGGAAGAGGAGGAGAAGGAGACAGATCGGAGAAAGGAAGAAACAGAAGAGGAGAGAAGCACGTTCATGTTAGTGTGAGGACAGGGTACTACACCTTTCTGAAAACTCATTTCCACCATGCGGGGGCCCATCAGCTCAATGAAGTAATTCTTGTTTTTCTCATACGCCTCATCATCAATTACCTTGATGTGAATTGTTTTGCTGTGGATGGAAAAATAAGTATCATAAGCAAGGAGTAGAGTGGAAGGCAAGCCAGCCAGCAGAAAAAACAGGAAGAGGAAGAAACAGTGAAAAGGTCCAGAAAGGTCAAGGTTTGCCCCAATACCACAGGGGCATGGAGGAGGGAGGCCGCCCCGGTCCCCTTGCAGACTCACTGGGCTCCTTCTGGGCTTCTTGTGCCTTCGTGGCATTGCCAGACTTGAAGACTAGAAAGAGCACAGGCTTTATAGTCAAAGGTTCTGGGTTCTGATCCTGGATGTGCTATGTGAAACTCGGACAGATAATTTAACTAGTATACAAACAGGTTGACTAATGCTTATACCACCCCAGGGCAGTTCTGAGAGCAAAGAAATAATATATACATATAATGGCTCAGACATTTAGGTCCTCCCATAATATTTACTTCCACATCCTTCTTGCTTTTGGGACAAGTGAGAATTTTATTTTTTAATTTTTCGACTTTTAAAATCGCTGATGTTGATCTGAAAGATGGCTGAGGGCAAGTTGGCCTGTGGGAACCTTGCCTGGAATAGCAGAAGTCACATAGCAGTGACTTTCACAGGGAGACCAGGAGGACCGTTTGGCTCAAATCAATCCTGTAGAAGCCGATGTAGGTCCATATACCCCAGCCCCCACCACCCACTGCTTCAAAAACGAAGACTGCATCCTGTCACTTGCCACACCCCTCCCTCTCCCCTCCCCCGCCCTACACACACAGAAACACTCTGCTAGGCACTAAGATGCGTGCTCAGCTTCCAAAAGGCTATAATACTTTGGCCTTCCTTCCTTCAGAGCAGTGGCACTGGTAATGGAGACTGATGCCTGGGATCAAATCCAGCCCCCACCTGTCATTAGCTAGGTGACCGTGGGCAATGAACTAAAACTCTCCAAGTTTCATTTGTAAAGTGGAATACTACTCCCTACTTCATAGTGTTCTTAAATGAGATAATGAATGCATTGCTTGGCAGAATACGTGTTCCCTAGGAAGTGTTTAATAAGTGGCAATAATTATTATTAACGGCAGTGTGGCCTGTTTGATGGTTTGAGAGTAACATATATGGGAATCTGATCATCTCTAGTCATTAAGTCAGAAAATAAGGCGAAATCTATGAACAGAACTGGTGACCCAAGAGGTGGAATGGGCTGATAATAGAAGTCAGGTCAAGAAAGGATGGGATAAAATAGGATACGAGATCCCAAATGGGTTATCGAGGGGCTTGGAATGTGAAGGGCGGTAGCGTGGATGGCAGCTCTCATATTCTCCTGAAATCTGGCCTTGTGCCCCTGTCAGCGACAAGCTCTGGGCTGGAGGCTAGATAACTCCCTTCCAGGTCTTAAACACTGGGAAAGTCCTCAGATATGCTCAAGCCACAAATGAGGCCCATTTAAATTTAGTCAGAGTCACCAGTCAGGTCTTGAGTTCTCTTTCCAAACTTACTCTTTCTTCCCCATTTCAGTCAATGGCACCATCATCTGTCTAACTATTCAAGCCCAAACCAGGAATCACCCTTGATTCCTTCCTACCTCTCATCCCTCCTCCCCTGCGTTCACTTCTAACCCTAATCCATTTAATTCACCACCATCTTTCCTTCTGATATCAAAACCTAGATCAAAACCATTACTTCTCCCTTGGACTTTGCAGTAGCCTCCTAAGACATTATCCTGCTCCTGCCTTTGACCTCTTCCTGCAAACCCTTCCCTGCATAACAACCAGAGTTATCTATTAAAAATGCAATCCAGCTACAATCATAATACCTGTAATTGGCTAAATACAAAATCCTTATGCAGCCTGTAGGGTCTTGTATGATCCAGTTGCTGTTGACCTCACTGACATTCTCCCCATTTTTGCGAGTCCCAGACAGATTGGTCTTTTGGTTCTTCAAATCAACCCTTTCCCATTTAGGGCATCATCTTTGCTGTTTTCTGTGTCTGGGTCTGTGCTGATCCTCATC